ATGTTCAAACTACCACACAATTGCACTCATCTTCCATGCTGGCAAAGTAATGCTCAAAATCCTCCAAAGCAGGCTTCAACAGTAGGTGAACTGTGAACTTCCAGATGTACAAGCTGGATTTAGAAAAGGCAGAGGAACCAGAAGTCAAATTGCCAACATCCATTGGATCATCAGAAAAGCAAGATAATTCCATAAAAACATCTGCTTCTGCTTTATTGACTATACCAAAGCCTCTGGCTCTGTGGATCAAAGCAAACTGGAAAATTCTTCAAGAGATAGGAATACCAGACCATCTGACCTTCGTCCTGAGAAATCTGTATGCAGGTCAAGAAGCAACAGTTAGAACTCTACATGGAACAATGGACTGATTCTAATTTGGGAAAGGAGTACATCAAATCTTTATGTTTCAGCTTCTTCAGCATTACTGTTCGGAGCATAGACTTCAATTACTGTGATATTGAATGGTTTGCCTTGGCAACAAACAGAGATCATTCTGTCTTTTTTCAGATTACATCCAAGTACTGCATTTCAAACTCTTTTGTTGACCATGATGGCTACTCCATTTCTTCTAAGAGATCCCTGCCTACAGTAGTAGATACAATGGTCATCTGAGTTAAATTCACCCATTCTAGTCTATTTTAGTTCACTGATTCCTAAAATGTTGATGTTGACTCTTGCTATCTCCTGTTTGACCACTTCCAATTTTACTTGATTCATGGACCTAACATTCCAGGTTCCTATGCAATATTGCTCTTACAGCATCAAATTTTACTTCCATCACCAGTCACATCCACACCTGGGAAGCCTCCATAAGCCTCTTATCCTTCTCCATCAGAGGGCAGACAGACTGAAAACAAAAACCACAGAAAAGTAACCAATCTGATCACATGACCACAGTGTTGTCTAACTCAGTGGAACTATGAGCTATGCCTTGTAGGGCCACCCAAGACAGACGGGTCATGGTGGAGAGTTCTGACCAAACATGGTCCCCTGGAGAAGGGAATGGCAAACCACTTCAGTATTCTTACTGGAGTACAGTGAGCCCCTAATCCAACAGGACTGGTGTCCTTGTAAGAAGATGGCCATGTGGATACAGAGAGGCAGGAGAAAAGACCATGTGATGATGGAGGAGAAAGAGACTGGATGCACAGAGCCACACGGGGGAAGGCCATGTTAATAGCTAACCACCAAAAGCCATGAGAGCAGTGAGGAAGGAATTATCTACAAGTTTCAGAGGCAACATGAGCCTCCTGACCTTGACTTTGGACGTCTGACTCCAGAACTCTGTGAAAATATGTTTCTGTGGCTTTAAAACACCCAACCTGTGGTACTCTTAAAGCAGCTCTGGGAAATTAATGCAGGTATGATGTAGAAAAAAGAGGTAACTTTATTCCTTGGGTTCCAGAAACGAATAAAGAACCCATGAACAGAACTGAAGGGGAAACAGACATCAACTCAACATGAATAAGAACTTGCTGGTAGGTAAATTCACCACAAAATAGAAGCCAAGGCCTTAAGCAAGTCATAAATTGTTGTTGTTGTTTAGTTCCTAAATCATGTCCTACTCTTTTGAAACCTCATGGACTGTAAACTGCCAAGCTCCCCTGTCCATGAGATTTCCCAGGCAAGAATACTGGAGTATATTTCCACTTTCTTCTCCAGGGGATCTTCCTGACTGAGGGATTGAACTCGGGTCTCCTGCAATGTAGATGCAGATGATTCTTTTACAACTCTTTTACAACTTTTTTTTACAATTCTTTTATACTGAGCCACCAGGGAAGCCCTAAGTTGCAAATTCCCCACTATTAAAACTGTGCAAGCAGAAATGAATCAGGAATACTGCAGAGCTGATTTATGCATCTGATTAAACTGATGATCTCCGACTCTAGAATTCAATGGACAGGCAGGCATTAAAGTCTTGCCAAAGAGAGGTAGACAGCTGCCTTTCACCTTTTGCTTCACTGATAGGTGCTGATATATAATAGAACGGTATACATGGTGTATAACATTAAATCTAAAGTCAGCATTTACTAGCTATTCATCCTTAGGTAGATTCCATAACCTCCCTTGCCTCAGTTTTTCACATGTTAAACAGAGTTATCAATAGTAATCACTTTATAGTGTTATTATGGAGATTAAACTAGTTAATAATTTAAATTGTTTACAACAGGACACAGGAAATATGTGTTGGTTGGTCTACTTGCTCTAACATTACTTAGACATTGTGCATTAGCACTGTCCTGCCATCACTGCCATTCCTCACCCCCAAAATATGGAGAATTTGGAGTCAAACTAGAACTGATTGTACTTTTTTAGGTCTTATTTTCTTTTCTAGGTCCCAAGTTGCACCATTTGGACCATTTATTGACCAAGTATCAGAAGTGTGATTTTTTTTCCAGTTTTCTCATAACAAGCCATTATAATGTGTTAGTCAACTGATAAGATGGGTTTGTGTGTGCGTGTTTCAAGCATTTCTGAGAAGTAAATGATTCAGCAGCAGCATTTTCAGACGATAAAGACTACAGTTTATCCTAACAAAGCTCTCCTGAGTTTTCGGTACTTATGTGCTAGAGTTGGAGGAAGATGCGAAGTTTTCACAATTAAATCCTCAGAAATTCAGATATTTCATTAAATGAGCATCTGTTGGTGACTGAAGTGTAATTTTAACTTCAGGAGCTAGTAAAAAACTTTTTCAGCGTATGACACTCATAATAACTGGTACATAGCTGTCAAAAAGAAATCCTCACTAAGTGACTCAACTTTAACAAAATACACTTTTACTTCTTCACTACGGAAGGTTACTAATCACTGCATCACTTGGGTGCGTGGATGACAGCTCTGACAGGTTAACCACACTCCAGGTAAATTCACAGTTACTTAGTTACATTCCATGAAGTAAATCCATTAACAGATGTGGGTAGCAATGCTTATACCTATATAATTCTGGGACCAGTGATTATGTAACCTTTGGATACATCAGAGGGAGGACGGAGAATCGAGGAACTAGATGCTTTTTCCAGAATGAGCGGCTTAGTGACACAGCACACATTTTAAAAAGGGGGATGCTCTGAGAAAATGAGGGAGGCTTGGCTGTGAGAGTACATTTGATCTGAGGCAGAATTTAGATAACCAACGTGGTGGAACGACCAGGGCTTCACTTGGTGTATAAGCCCAGCTGTGATGGTGATTCCCTGCTTTATAAGCCATCTGTCCTCAACAAGTTCCACAAAACCCCTGTGTGTCAATGACATCATAATATACAAAACATCAGTAATGATGAATTCCCTTGGAATTGTCATTGAGATTAAATAACCCAAGGGTATGAACTATCCACCTCAATATCTGGCAATAATAGGGACTGAATAATTGTAGGCTTTTGCCTTTAACTCTCTTCATCTCTTATAAATCCTAAAGGCAGAGTTTGGGAGCAGATATGGGTCAATATGATGGATGAGGCAACACCACAGTTCATTGAAAAATAGTAAGTTCTTTATTCATCTCAATTCAGTAAATATCAATATTTCTTGAGTATCTACTACATGCTGCCCACTGAAGAGACAAAATGATAAAGATTGCTCTTTAATTTCTGAAAAATGAAATTCAAAATCAAGTAAAATAAGCACAGCTTTATGAGCCACTGAGCAATGTCTTGCAAGGTAAGGGAACTGATTTTAAGCATATATTGAGAATTCACACAGACTGACTGATTCAGTGAAAACACAGGGCAGCCTTAAATTATCTCCCTTAGGCAATATTTATTTGTGGCATTGCAGGGGTACTGGCCAGGTTGACAGGATTCCCTCATCAGACCTGTTTTCTTTGTTTAGTTACTGCCTTAATCTGTCAACCCTGCTGTAACAGAGTACCATGAACTGAATGGCTTATAAGCAATTGAAGTGTGTGTCTCAGTTCTGGATTCTGAGAAGTGCAAGTTCAAGGCTCTGGCAGTTTCAGTGTCTGGGCAGAGTCCATTTCCTGGTTCATAAAGAACAGGCTTTTTTTTTTGCTGTATTCTCCCATGGTGAAAGAGGTGAAAGATCTCTCTATATAAGGAGAGATCCCTTATATTAGCTCCCTTTATAAGGACCTACCGCCCTTCACAAAGCCTCTACCCTCATGACCAACTCATTTTCCAAAGGCCCACTTCCTAATACCACCACATTCGGGGTCAGGATCCTTGTCTTTTTTAATTGAAGTATAGTTGATTTACAATGTTTTGTTAATTACTGTAGCACAGCAAAGAGATTCAGTTATATTTACATAGACATATACATTCTTTTTTTTAGTATTATTTTCCATTGTGATATCATAGGATATCGATTATAGTTCCCTATGCTATATAGTAGGTGGGGCTTTCCAGGTGCTCACCTGCCAGTGTAGGAGACACAGGAGACGTTGATTCGATCCCTCAGTTGGGAAGACCCCCTGGAGTGGAAAATGGAAACCCACTCCAGTATTCTTGCCTGGAAAATCCCATGGACAGAGAAGCCTGGCGGGCTACAGTCTACAGGGTCACAAAGAGTTGGACATGACTGAGCACCTGAGCATGCAAGTACACTATACAGTAGGGTCTTGTTGTTTACTCATTCTATATTTAAAGCTTGCATCTGCTAATCCCAACTTCCCAGTCCATCGCGCTCTCAGCCCCTTTCTCCTCCACAGCCACCAGTCTGTTCTCTATGTCTGTGATCCTGTTTCTTCTTCAAAAATAGGTTTATTTGTGTCAGATTTTAGATGTCCATATATAATGGATATTGTGCATTGTTTGTCTTTGTCTGACTTACTTCACTTAATGCAATAATCTCTAGTTCCATCCATGTTGCTGCAGATGACAGGATTTCATTCTTTTTCAGAGCTGAGTAATATTCCTTTGTGTATATGTATCGCATCTTCTTTACAGGGGGTAGGATCTTAATATACGAATTTCTGTTTCACGGCACCTTCCACAGCATGGACGTTTAGTCTATAACAGAGACTGTTCCTTTTTCTTTCCCAATCAGTGTGTGTGGCTGTGTGGAAGAACCACCACATGAGGACGGTGACCAATTACTTCATCGTCAACCTTTCTCTGGCTGATGTGCTTGTGACCATCACCTGCCTTCCAGCCACATTAGTTGTGGACATTACTGAGACCTGGTTCTTCGGACAGTCCCTCTGTAAAGTGATTCCTTATTTACAGGTAAATGCTTTTTGCACTTTTGGGGGTTCAAACACAGAAACTACCAAAAAATGCATAATCATTTTCATTTATAGCCATGGCCCATTAGTAAACACTTAGTGCATTGAGAGAAATTGGCAAACTTAAGGAAAGTGATACTAGAAACTTTCTGGGTAAAGAAGGTAAGTTCTGGGTTAAAAAAAGTGTCAGAATTCTGTAGTTAGCAATAGATGCTGTGTAAACCTGTGGCTTCTTTGATCTCTAATTTCCTGATTATAAAATAAGGAACTTGAGCAAATCAATGATTGAGGCTGTCCCAATCCAAATAATTGAGTATTGTTTTTATAAGTAGTCTCATTTACTGCTGAGAAATAAAGAGCTATACTGTCAAAGCAATACAGGGAACATGTTTTAGTGCAGGTTTGCATTAAACTACCATACTTGGAATCTCTATTCTACCTTTCACCGATTGTATACCATTGAGCCAAATACATAAGCTCTTTGAGATTCACTTATTTTAAAAGATTAATAAGTTTGATTATAAATATGTCTTGTGGTTGCCAACCACAACTGCACTCATTTACTTAGATAACTGTGTAAACCACTTGGCACAGATATTAGTCTCTGAAAGATTATGGCCTTATAAAAACATAGTATGTTCTCAATAAATATATCATCATCATTATCTAGTGTTCTATTGCTCAGTTCTTAAATCCTCTTTTCTATAACTAGCTGTTCTACAACAAATTAAAACCATGTACTTCCAGAAAATACTTTTCTGATTGATAGTCTAATATCTCTGATATCTTTAAAAAATTTCCCAAGCTGCTGTTCATAGCCACAGTTCTAAAAGACCTGGATTCCCTTTAGCAATTGGACAGTGAGTGAAATGGTGGCCAATCCCCACCAGTTCCCATGACCACCCTCCACCATCTAGTTCTTATTCCATCTTGCCTCCAAGATGGTATCATAATTATTTGGAGGAAATGACAACATGAACCCAATGATGACAAATGGAGGCAAGAAGAACAATTGAATCTAAACACGGACCTTACACTCTTCAGAAAAACTGACTCAAAATGGTTCATAGACCCAAATGTAAAATACAAAGGGGTAAAACTCTTAGAAGATAACTTAGAAGAAACCCCAAATGGACTTGAGTATTTTGATGACTTTTTAGATGTAACAACAATGATGTGCTGCTTGAAATAAATCATTGATAAGCTGACTTCATTAACATTAAAAACTTCTGCTCTGCAAAATTCAGTGTAAACAGAATGAGAAGACAAGACACAAACTGGGAGAAAATACTTGCCAAAGATATGCATAATAAGTGACTGCTGTCTAAAATAAGGCTCCCTGGGTGGCTCAGTGGTAAAGAATCTGCCTGCCAAGCAGGTGACATGAGTTTGATCTCTGGGTTGGGAAAATCCCCTGGAGAAGGAAATGACAACCCACTGCGGTATTCTTGATTGGGAAATCCCCATGGACAGAGGAGCCTGGTGGGCTACAGTCCATGGGGTTGAAAAAGAAGCAGACACAACTTAGGGACTAAACAACAAAAACAGTACCTAAAATATACAAATAGTTGTTAAAACTAAGCAATCTGGAAGCAAACAACCCAACTGAAACATAGACCCAAGACCTTAATGACACCTTACTAAAGAAGATATACAAATGGCAAAGAACCATATGAAAAGATGCCCCTCATCACATCTCATCAGTGAGTTGCAAATTAAAATAATGAAATCACTACACACTTATTAGAAAGGCCAAACTATGAAACTCTGACAACAACAAAGGCTGGCAAGGATGTGGATCAACAGGAACTCTCATTCCTGGCTGGTGAGGATAATGAAAAATGTTACAATCATTCTGGAAGACTGATTATTTTTTTTTAACAAAATAAAATGGCCCCAATATATGATCCAGCAATTTTACTCCTTGATATTTCTCTCTCAAAACTGGTGCACTGGGAAGACCCAGAGGGATCGGGTAGAGCGGGAGGTGGGAGGGGGGACCGGGATGGGGAATACATGTAAATCCATGGCTGATTCATTTCAATGTATGACAAAAACCACTACAATATTGTAAAGTAATTAGCCTCCAACTAATAAAAATAAATGAAAAAATAAATTAATTAAAAAAAATTTTTTTAAAGGTTGAAAATTTACATACACAGAAACACTCTCATGCAAATGTCTATTGCAGCTTTATCCATGATGACCAAAACTTTGAGGTAACTAAGATGTCATTCAGTAGATGAATAGATAAACTAATTGGAGTACAACCAGATAATAGAATATTATTCAGTGATTAAAAGAAATGAGTTGTGAAGGCATGTTCAGTTCAGTTCAGTCACTCAGTCATGTCTGACTCACTGCAACCCCATGGACTGCAGCACTCTAGGCTTCTGCGTCCATCACCAACTCCTGGAGCTTGTCCATCAAGTCGGTGATGCCATCCAACCATCTCGTCTTCTGTCGTCCCCTTCTCCTGCCTTCAATCTTTCCCAGCATCAGGGTCTTTTCTAATGAGTCAGTTCTTCACATCAGGTGGCCAAAGTATTAGGGCTTCAATGTCATCATCAGTCCTTCCTTCCAATGAATATTCAGGACTGACTTCCTTAGGGTTTGACCGGTTTGATCTCCCTACAGTCAAGCTATGAAAGGACATTGAATATTTATTACTAGGTGAAAGAAGCCAATGTGAGAAGGTTGTATACTGCATAATTCCAATAATATGACATTCTGAAAAAATACAAAACTATGGATACAGAAAAATTATGAGTGGATCCCAGGTATTGGAAGGGATGAATAGGCAGAGCACAGAGTATTTTTAAGGCAGTATAATGTATGACACTATAATGCTGGATACATGTCCCTAAATATTTTGTCCAAACTCATTCAATGTACAAATGTACAGTTGTAACAAATGTACCACTATGATGGGGGATGTTGGTAATGGAGGTTCAGAGTGTATAGGGAAATCTCTATACTTTGTCCTTAATTTTTCTGTGATTTTAAAAATACTCCAAAAATAAAGTATTAGTAAAAGCAAAAGTTGCGAGAGATCATAAATAGTTCATTACTAGAAATTATATTAATTGAGCTTTTGTATCTGAAATGTTACAACGAGATTTTTAGCTCAATAATTCTTTGGTGACCCATTATAAAGAAAAGTAATAAATTCGTAGGTCAGACATCACTGATTGAATAGTAAGTGGGAAATGCCATGGTAGTTATAAGCCCCACTGCAAACATTAAATTTAACTGTAAGGTTAGTTTGTATCAATCAGCTGAAAATTATGTGTGGGTTGCAAAAATAAACTATAGCAGTTTTTGAGAGAAATAGTACACTGATCAACAGAGAAGAATATTGCCATAGGAAAAGAACCACTAATCAATTGTCTCATGGAGTTTGCATAGAAACACTAGGAGAATCATAAACAGCAGAGAATTTTAATATTTCACCAACTCTGTGATACTTCCAACAAGCTTTTTTATTTCTTTTGGTTCCAGTAACCACCCAGGAAGAAACTTGAGGGATCCCTTAAGTTTCAAGATGGCTAAATTTGCCCAGAATCTTCTGTTGTCTGAGAGAACATTTCAAGCTCTCTCTGCAAAGCAGAAGTTTCTCTGATTAAGTGTGGGATGATGGGCAGGGTGCATCACCCTGTGATAGGTGCAGTCCTGCTCTAATGCACAGTGATAACATCTATAGATCAGGTATCCCAAATTCTCCCGTGTGCAGTCAAAGGCAGATAGAAAATGGTATGTAACCAGTGAGTGATGCAGAGCAGGAGTCTCTGTTAATGTTCGTTATTGACAGTATTCTTTTGAGCAGCACAACTTAAAACAAATCTTACAGTTGAAAGAACATCTTCATAGCTTGATAGATTCTATCTGCTTTCTTATAAAGTGTCCACTTTAGTCAACTCTTCAGTTGACCTTCTTCTCCATTATCAAGGACAAAACTATTGATAATCACAAGATCTGAGTCAGATGGGAAGGATTAGACCCATTCGTCCACTCATGCAACATTACTTCTTGATGGGAAGTTGTAAATGCACAAAAATATTGGGGGCACTAGTAAAACTGAAATATCCAAATTATCTCAATGTTTATTATCTGTTTTCCATAGAATATTCCCAAATAGAAGGAATAATGCCAATGTGCAATAAACCTAGTATCTGAGTAGTTTTTTTTTCCCTTTGCTGTGATGGTCTGAAACTGATGTTCCCTCATATGATACGTATTTCCCACTAAATATCTAAAAACATATACAAAGCATCCAGACAAATTTTAAGGTTATTTTTTATTGCATTTATGACTCTTTGGAGATATTTCTTTGGTGGTCCAGTGGTTAGGTCTCTGCACTTCCACTGCAAAGGTATGTGTTCAATCCCTGGTCTGGGAACTAAGATCCCACATGCCACACAGCATGACCAAAAAAGAACTTAAAATAATGTAACAAAATAAAACAGCTAACCAACAAAGAACTACTCTAAAAAATTAAAAATTAAAAAAAGATTCTTTGGACATTTATTAATTTCCTATTGTTTATGTTCTTTTTCTTCTAAATGCAATTCAATACAACTTTAGACTTCTGAGTGATCTACTGTAAGACTTTAGCAAACTCTCATCAATTTTTAAAATCTCGTAAATATAACAAAACTTAGGTAAATGATTACAAGCCTTCCCAGGTGGTGTCAGTTCAGTTCAGTCACTCAGTCATGTCTGACTCTTTGAGACCCTATGGACTGCAGCATTCCAGGCTTCCCTGTCCTTCACCAATTCCCAGAGCTTGTTCAAACTCATGTCCATCCAGCTGGTGATACCATCCAACCATCTCATCCTCTGTTGTCCACTTCTCCTGCCTTCAATCTTTCCCAGCACCAGGGGCTTTTCTAAAGAGTCAGTTCTTCGCATCAGGTGGCCAAAGTATTGGAGTTTCAGCTTCAGCATCAGTCCTTCCAATGAACACCCAGGACTGATTTATGGACTGGTTGGATCTCCTTG